GGCGACTCGAGGGGTTTGAGGTAGTGGCGGAGACTCGCGCCGCTGGGCTGGCATATGTGTTGGCGATAGCGATATAGGCCCAGCGTCTTTTCGTCGTCCTCGGCGAGGAGGAACTTGGAAAAGACCTTCCAGGCTTGGAAGCATACACCTCTATACACCAAAAGAACAAAACGATGAATATCAAAATGTGCCATTTTTTGGAGTAATTAAGAGGTTGACCAACCTATTCTCCAAGAGCCGCCATATCCTCCACAAGTACCGCCGCGGCAGGTCTTCACGGGCGAGATGGTGTTCTTCCACGTCGCCGATATTCTCCGCTATCGTGTGCACCGCCATGTCGGCGAGCGACCTCGCGCCCTTCATGCCTTGGCCGCCGCGACCTCTTCGTGGTTGCCGGCCGGTCCGCCGTGACCAGTCCCGGCCATTTTGGTACGCGTCGGGGGGCCGCTGTGCGACGACTTCTTTGAAGACTTGTCCGTTTTGGTCATACATGAGAGACGGTGCATGCAGAAAAACTGAGCAGAGACAGCTTAGGAGATCGAAAAGCAGTTGTAAGTATCACCTTTGAGAGTTCGTCATGGTTATGGCGATGGGTGAGGTGAGATGACGAGTTAGCAAGGAACAGACTCAGTGTGAGACCGAAGCACCGTGCCTAAACTGTATATAATACCGTCGCACTGTATGGCCGAGATAACCTCACACCAGTGACAGCGCATCTGCCGTAAGAACCAGGGCTCTGCGACAGTGAACAGAGCGCATCATAGGCTGGAGCTTGACAGTCAGGTATGTGATTGACGTCTGGAACGATGTTTAATGCGCCCCAGCACAATCACGGCATCTCACTACACGCAAGGTAAATGCGGTGGGAAACAATGTATCGCTGCAAAAAATTTCTCCAATCACCAATACAGCCGAAGCTGCCACGGGTCAGAGGGTAAGTGTGCGAGTAAAGTGCGTCAGTCTCTCCTCCTGTTTCCCCTCCAGACACATTCATTGATAACGTGAAAGCCAGAGTGAATAAGGAGGATTAATATGTTTTATGATTAGGTAAAGAAGAAAAGAGAAAAAGAGGAAAGCGCAAGCTTTTGCGCGCGATCTCAGCCTTGATATTGGTTTTCTGAGAGTGGGGCCAGTGGAGAGGGTGGTTGGTTGGTTCGCGCTTAGGTTTTGCCGGTGGCCGGGATTCACTTTCAGTTGGAGATGCGGCTCGATACCTTGGTGGGCCACTTACAAGTCTCTTTGGCATTTCATTGCGATGAACTCGTTTCACAACTGGGTTGGTCTTCGGATTGAAGACAAATATGACTCACATCCGCGATTTTACCACACTGAGAGCTCTTAATCTTGTAGCATGGACTGGATTGAACCAACGGAGATTTATCCCAAGCAAAGTGAGAGGCTACTCCTACACTTTGAGGACTAGTCGCAGTTGATTGATGAACTACCTACCACACAGTCAAATCTCACTGAGGAACTCACTTATTCGTTGGTACATTGTGCCAAACACTAATTTCTTCCTGGCAAAAAGCCATTCTCTGGTATTCTCTTGATCACCTTCAGTTTTGGTATGCTACCTTAGGAGGAGTCCATAAAGAACCGAGTGGGGTCAATCCACGTACCGAATGAGAGCCGCCAGATTGAAATCATCCTTCGATTGGCCTCACCCTTTTCCCGTCTCTATCGGGGTCATTATATCAGGGACCGCGGCCTTGTACCTGAGGGAGGGTAAGATGTTGCACCTGTGACTAAAGTGAGGTGATTGCCGAAAACATACTACGCGTGGCTTAGATGACAGACATTCTGCACATGTGCATCTCCTGACACAGGCTGTCTACATTGAAGCCTGCCCGCTTTAGCGCGGGACACAAAGTCGTGGCGGTGAAAAAGAGGCCAAAGAGTGGCCCCCTCGGGTAGAAATGGGCTGCTGCCGCCGGCCAATGAAGGTCAAGGTGTTTGTGTTTGCGGGACTCTGCAGGTTCAGGGACTGAAATGGACTGCAGTATCGTGCTTTGCGCGCCGTAACCCAACGATGCTGTTATGGCCCATTTTGGTAACTTGGCAGGGCGAAATACCGTAATGATGATTGCCCCTCTGATCTGCCACACCTTATTAAGTCTGTGACTCTTCGAGCTATGCCTTAGTGTCTACCCAATGGGATCATAACTGAAGTCCGATTCACCGTGTTGACCCTGCTTTATCTCCAGTGATTCCCTCTTCCTCTGCTTCTAAGGTAATCTCTGACACCATAACCTTCTTCTTTAAAAACCACCACGCCCAAGTGCAGCCGCCGCCCACCAAAGCAGGACAGCACACTTTTACCCCGCCATCCTACCCTTTGCGCCAACTATCTTTGCTAAACATCCCACTTCGACCCCGCAATCTCATTTTGTCTACGCAGACAATCAGGAGCAAACCAGCAGAAAAAAAATAGAACCCCATCACAGTCAAAATGGCAGGCGGACAACCAGGAGGCAACTCTCGCGGCCGTGGCGGCAAGTTCAGAAAGTTCACCCGTGGAGGTTCGTCAAAAATTCGCCTCAGTGATACCCATCCCGTTGAAGCGCAGGCTGACATTCTACTGATTGGAAAGGTGGCAAGCACTTCTCCCGTGATCTCAGACCCCTCGACGCCGATGGCAACGAAATCAACATGTGGGCCGCCGGCTCCAAGAAGAAGGACGAGGAGAGCTCCGAAGAAGACTCTGAAGAGGATTCTGAGGAGGAGTCCGACTCTGACGAGGGCGGCGCCGCCCAGGCCGAGTTGTCTCGTGCCGATAGAAAGGCTGCCGCAAAGGCTCGCAAGGATGCCGCCATAGCCAAGAAGAAGGCCCAGGCCGTCGAGGTCGGCGACTTGCCCCCCAGCGATTCCGAAGAGGAGAGCAGCGATGACGACATGCCCGCCAACCCCAACCACTCCAAGGCCTCTCGCAACCAGACCAAGGCGCCTGCCCCCAGCGCCGACGTTGACGAGGCCGCCGAGGGCGTCAAGAAGCTGACCGTGGCCAACAACCGCAAGGAGCGCGAGAGCATGGAGGCCGCGCAGGCCAAGGAGAGATACCGCAAGCTGCACGAGGCCGGCAAGACGGACGAGGCCAAGGCCGATCTGGCGCGGTTGAGACTCATTCGTGAGCAGAGAGCGGCTGATGCTGCTCGGAGAGATGTAAGAAGTTCAGCTCAAATTTCGATTTACCTCCTAGACATTAAAACTAACCATCTAATTTTCTGCAGGCCGAGAGAGAAGAGCGCGAGGCCCAAGAGGCTGCGAAGAAGAAGGAGATTGAGGCAAAGGAGGCCAAGAAGCGTGAGGCCGCCCTCGGCCCTTCAGCGAAGAAGGGCAAGAAGTCCAGCAAATAAGCCGGTCCTGGCCAAGCCGGGCATTCAGTGCTCTTTGGCAATCTGGACACGACCTCAAGTTATATACCATCGTTCTTCCTGGTCCATATTCGATCCCAGCATCGCATGCCCCGGACACCATGTGGAAGCCACAAATGTGGACAAAAGATTTTGTGTGCCAAAGCCCAATTGCTGCCATAGGCTGTTCTGCCAGACTCCGTGAAAATGCTCTATTTTACATGAAGCCAATGTACAATACCTCGCGCAGTGCAGATTCATGATTTGTCTCACATGCCACTCAACCCATCCGATCCAACGGCGTCATGCCACACCTGATCAAAATCCACGCCCTCTTTTTGGAACAGATCCCGGATCTGCTTCGCCACTACAACTTGCTTCTCGGGGCCGAACCCACCTGGCTGCGAGGACTCGAACTGCACGATCTCGATCCACCGGAAGAAAAGGTTCTCCTTGCCAATTGCGTTGAGAGCATCCCTGAACTGGAACACCTGTCTCCGTCTGTCGTCTTCCTTTGCCGTCACGCCCTCTTCCTCAACTGACATCCAGCCGTAATCTTCATGATACACCAGTACCAGGCGTCTGAAGGCATCTAGTGCGACGTCGTTGCGATCAACCATGGTGTGAGCGTCAATCATAGCCTGCCAGTCGAGATCCCACTGTCCAGTCATGGTGAGGTAGCCAGTCTTCTCCTGGAGGAGAAGAGGGGAGCAAGCTTGCCGGATGACCTGCTGCAGCGCCTCGTTGCGCTCCCTGTCCTTGAAGATGTCGCCCAGCTGCTGGTCCCACTCCCGGCTGCGCCGGACGTAGATTTCCTTTGCGCGAAAACCGACCTTCCACCGCCAGCTGACCGGGTTGCTGTACGACGTGCCAAAGACGAACTCGACGGGCCACGGCCAGACAAAGATGAAGAGCATGAGATCCAGGGTTAGCGAGCCGCCGCGCTTGGCGACCTCCCAGAGGAGCTGTCCCCAGGTCGAGTTGGCGGTGGGGAAGGTCGTCTCGTTGGGGTAGCCCATGGCGGACTGGACGAATTTGAAGTAGTAGGGCAGGATCCAGTACATGCGCAGGACGAAGAGCGCGGCGACGGCCAGGTTCATGCCGACCGGCACGAGGAAGATTTTCTTCTTGAACTCCACGGGCTTGGAGTCGATGTGGGTGATGTAGACGTGCTTTTGGTCAAGCGTCTCGATGAAGGGTTGGAGGACCTCTGCTGGCTTCTTGAAGGGCTTCGGCGGCGCGCCCACTGCCGCTTTCTTGGGTGCCTTGGATTTGACGGCCTTCACTTTTGGCGCCATCGTGACCGTTTCCGCGGACACTTACTGTGAAACAGTTGTGCTTGTGAAATGTGAGTGAGAATAAGTGAGCTCGACCCAGGGCTCTTTAGCTACAAGCTGGCCGAATTTGCTTTACAAATGGGGGCAAGGGGGTTGCATGCCACCAGGTACCTGCCCCTGACGTACCGGGTGGTGGTGGGTCCAAGAACTGTCCAATTGCCTCCTGGCAGCGATTGGCTGCACATGCTGACCTCTCCAATTGCCCTGGGGGAGCTCGAGAAATTTCTGGGGCATTTCGAAGGAGCTCGAGCTCGACCTTAACTTTCTCCAGGCATTCCTTCGCAGCCTCTCATGTTGCGCCCAAATACAAATCATGCTTAGATGTAGGATATGGAACGTAAGTAGAGCTATTCCCGAGTGATCGAGGTCTTTGCACATAATCTAATAGCTTCTTTAGGAGCGAAGCAGTGCTTACGTCTGCGCCTTCTGCCGCCACCCCGCCCTGCAGCGGCAGCGTGATCTCGGTCGACCAAACTACTCCGATTCGACGAAGCATGTATCGACCGGCAGCAGAGGATTCGCGTCATGGGGAGGTGGCAAGGGCTCTATCGGCTCGGGCATTCCTAGGAAGTCACCCGGTCCGGCCAACGGCTTCGGATGGGGAGCGTCGGCATTTGGTGCAGGCACGCCGTCAAAAGCACCGAGCCCCGACGGCCCAGCAGTAGCGGCCCCCGTAGATCGAAGCAACGACGTCGATGATGGGCTTTTACCACACGAGCGCGCCGCGCGCCAAAAGCTAGCCACCCACAAAGCCGCACAGGAGAAGGCCGTGCAGGACAAAGCTGATGCGACGAGAAAGGCCCAGGATGCTTTAGGGCAGCCCGACCCGAGACAACGAGGGCCTAAGGGAGGTCTCGGTAGCGGTCTTGGAAGTGGAGGCGTTCGAAGTGGCGCGCAAAGAGGCTTGGGAAGAGGCCTTGAGAGCGTCCCTACAAGTGCAGGAGGAAGAGAGGAAGAAAAGAAGCCGAGGCAGTTTTTCAGTGGCTTAGGAGATGGCCGTAAAGGAGGCCTTGGAGGTGGCCTTGGAGGAAGCTCTAAAGGTGGCTTGGGAGATGCCAACACAAAACCGCGAACTCAAGGCGGTCTCGACGAAAGGCCTTCACGTTCAGCACCAAGATCCGACTGGAGACATCGTCATGATTCAGATCAAGCCCCGCCAAGCACACCTGTACCGCATCACCGACGCGCTGAAAGAGATGGTCTCGGTGGTCTGTCGTCCCAGAGGGACTCGCGTCAGCGGAATGGTCTCGGCAAGTCAAACGCACTGGGCTCGGGCAGCTGGAGCCAACTCTCAAAGAGGACTCAAGACTCTAGCATTGATTCCGAGGGACTTTCGAGAGAGAACTTTTTCACCAAATTTCAAGAACGGGTGGCCGAAAGCCCCACCCGGAACGACAGAAACCCACGATCATCACGCTCAGAACTTGGTGGCTTGAGCGAAGACATATCGGGGGACTATGCACAAGCCGCACCGAACACGTCTCAAAAGCCAGAGTCCAAGACAAGAGAGTTCGATGAGTCCTACGAGATCAACCGTGACTCTCGACGACGCGATAAGACTAGCAACCGTCGCGGGGATAGTCACGCATCCTCTCGGGGATCGCACAAGTCAAAAGGGCAGTCACGGTGGGAGGACGAAAATGATGAATGGGAAGATGGTGGTATAAGTCCAGCCGAACGCCGCCGTCAGAAGGCTGAGGCAAAAGCACAAAGAGCTGCGGAAGCTGCAGCAGCTGCAGCAGTCCCGAGTATCTTCCTGCCTGAGTTCATCAGCATATTAAATTTGGGCTCAGCGCTGAAGATGAAGAGTCGCGAGTTTCTGAAGGCTCTGGCAGAAATGGGCTTCGAGGACATTACCGAGGACAGCATCATGACGGGAGAAACCGCGGCTCTAGTCGCTCAGGAGTTCGGGTTTGAACCAAAAGTTGATACCGGCGCTGCGAGGGATCTCAAATCTCGGCCTCCTCCGGAAGATGTCTCGGTATTGCCGCAACGGCCCCCTGTTGTGACCATCATGGGCCATGTCGATCACGGAAAGACTACGCTCCTCGATTACCTCAGGCAATCTTCTATTGCGGCGCAAGAACACGGCGGTATCACTCAGCACATCGGTGCCTTCATGGTAAAGATGTCTGAAGGAAAGCTCATCACCTTCCTCGACACACCTGGTCACGCGGCCTTCTTGACCATGCGCCAACGTGGTGCCAACGTCACGGATATTGTGGTCCTGGTTGTGGCAGCTGACGACAGTGTCAAACCCCAGACTCTGGAGGCTCTGAAGCATGCCAGATCCGCAAAGGTGCCAATGATCGTGGCCATCAATAAGTGTGATAAGGAAGATGCGCGCCCGGATCAGGTCAAGGCAGACCTCGCTCGCCATGGTGTCGAGATCGAAGACTTTGGTGGTGACGTACAAGTTGTTTGTGTGAGCGGAAAGACTGGTCAAGGCATGGCTGAGTTGGAGGAGAACATTGTCACCTTGGCTGAAATTCAAGACATGCGAGCCGAAGCCGATGGTATGGCTGAAGCGTGGGTGCTTGAAGCCAGTATAAAGCCATATGGCAAGTCTGCCAACGTGCTCGTCAAGCGTGGCACTCTACGCCTCGGCGACTTCATTGTCGCAGGCACTGCCTGGGCTAGGGTTCGAGTTTTGCGAAATGAGGCCGGACAGGAGTTGGACGAGGCGCCACCTGGAACCCCTGTCGAGGTTCTGGGCTGGAGAGACGAGCTACCTGCTGCTGGTGACGAGATTCTTCAGGCACCCGACGAAGACCGAGCGAGGGTGGCTGTCGACTACCGCGAGGAGATGCGGGAGAGAGAGGCATCTTCGAAGCAGTTGGCTGAGCAGGAGCTTCGCGAACGTGAGGCCAAGATTGCTGCTGAGATTGCGGCAGAGGTTGAGGCAGCAGATGGAGATGCCGTCGAACCGGCTTCAACCACGAAAATTATCAATTTCATGGTTAGAGGTGACGTCGTGGGCTCCGTCGAAGCTGTATGCGCGACTATTAACGAGATTGGCAACAATGAAGTGAGGCCTCGTATCCTCCGGTTTGCGGCTGGCCAGGTTTCCGAGTCAGATGTTGAGCATGCTGAGGCGTCGAACAGTGTCATTGCCAACTTCAACAGTACCGTCCCCGGCCATGTCAAGGCCATGGCGGAGCAAAAGGGCGTCAGAATTATAGACCACAGCGTCATCTATCACTTGGCAGACGATGTCAAGCAAGTCATGTCAGAGTCCTTGCCGGATAAGGTGTCGTCCAAGGTTGTCGGCGAGGCGGATATCCTTCAAATTTTCCCCATCAACATCAAAGGACGCAAGTATAAGAACATTGCCGGATGCAAGGTCAGAAACGGTTCGGTCACTCGGTCAACCATGGCGCGCGTTCTGCGCGGAGGCGAAAAGATCTTTGAAGGTAAGCTATCCCCTTTCATCACCGTTGGTGTGAGTAGCGGCCTAATCTGACAACAAATGTAGGCAAGATTGATACTCTCAAGCACGGCAAGAAAGATGTAAACGAAATCAGAAAGGGCTCCGAGTGCGGTATTGCCTTTGACGGATTTACAGACTTCCATGTTGGCGATCAAATCCAGATGTACGAAGAGGTGAGGGAGAAGAGGTCTTTGTAAGATAATTGGGACAGCTGTAAGACGTTTGTACGAGATGACAAGACGAGGCCGTGGGTATAGAGTTGAGCAACAGTGGTGCTTGAGAGTTTCTTGACATCAAAGCTGTGCTCGGGAGGAAGACGAACGTATTCGGAGACGCAACTCATACAACGCCATACTGTAAAACAACTTGTGTAACCAGCCTATCATGGCTGCTATAGAATATTTGGGGAGGTATTTGGCCACCTCAAACTTCGTCATGTATTATTCATTTATTTTTACCACCGTTTTGGGGCAGAAACCGTATTCGACGAGAACGTCCTACTCGTAGTCGTCGCTTGCAACCGCTCCTTCTCGAGCTTAGCCAACCCAATCTTGTCCGTGACAGGTGTGGCATTGATGATGTTGTCAAACTCGTCATCTTCCTCTCCATTGTCAGAGTCGGGCTCAACATCAGAGTCCGGCTTCAAGTTTTGTGGCCGTGCTATCGACTCGGGCTTCTTCTTCTCTGCTGCCGACGGGTTAGAGAACGTCTTTGACGCAAGAACCTTGCGCCGTATCTCCTCCATTGCCGCGTCGTCATCGCTGTCGTCTGATATCGCGTAGGGGTCTTTGTCGTCCTCTTCCTCTTCATGGTCTTTGGCGGGCTTCTTGCCCAGGTATATGCCGTCAACGCTGTCGCCTTCGCCAGACTCGTCTCCGCTCTCGTCATCTTCGTCGTCATCATCATCTTCCTCCTCGTCAGAGTCTACCATGGCTCTCCTGTTTGTGTTTCCTCCCTTCCACATGTCGTCCGCGTCAGCATCCTCTCTGCTGTCCGCATACTCCTTGTCAAGCCTGTCCAGCCATTCCTCCTGAACCTTCTTCACCCCCTTTTCGTCTTCGCTCGCGGCGTACTTCTTCAACAGACTCCCGTTGATCTCCAAGAATGCCTCGCCATAGGAGAAGGGCGCAAGAACCTGCTCCGACCACTCGGGGTGCCCGCAAATGTAAAACGCCGCCGCGAGCGCCTCGACACAGTTCAGCTTCCACGGCTTGCCGTAGTTGACGGTGTTCGCAGCCACCAAGTACGGCAGCAACCGCTCGCACTTGCCTCCCACTTTATTCCACTGGACGTCCTTCATGCGCGCCCAACTGCACTCGACCACGGCGGCGCCGTACTGGTCCATGAGGTCGCGGTCGGCCGGGGAGACGGTGTGTTTGCCATTGGGCGTGATGATGACGCCGTTATGCCTCTGACCGACGTGGAGATCGCGCATCATGCCCATTCGGATCAGCTTCTTTCCGGAGCACCGCTTGGGGTCGCAGTGGCCAAGATCCCAGCATGCTGCCTTGAAGGATGGGCGGGTGGAGGGGCCGTCAGTGTCGTCGCCATCGCGGGGTTGGCGTTGTCGCGGCGGTCCCGAGTGGAGCTTACGACCGCGGGAGCTGAAGTTGTCTTTCTTATGGCGGACCATCTTGGAGAGGTATGTTACTGTGGGATCGCAGGGTGACTGAACGAAGGCCAAAGGGTTCGGTATCTCCTTGGGCGAACAAAAGTTTGGCGGGGTATTTGGAGGGGCAAATCTCGAAAATGACCAGAAAACACATTACAGTGCATAACAAGGTCCGAATATGCCAGTAAGCGTGATATCTCCGAATAAGGTACAGAAGTATGGCAAAGCCGCCCGTAGGTCAAGCACAGGCCACCTTTTGGTGGCTCCTCTTCCCGCGCCGCCTGTCACTCAGCAGCCCCTCGTCACTCGGCCACAGATGCCATCGGTACCTATCACAGGGTTCATGAGGGATGCCTGCGCCGACCTAATCCAATCTGTCCAATTCGCAGGCGCTCGCTCGGCCAGCTGTTAATTCTTCACGGCCAACCCAACCCATCCATCGTCTTCGGATGCGCTTCTCACTCTGAGAAATTTGGACGAACGACGAGATCCCTAACCCGCCAAGATAGCTCCCTTACCTCCCCGCCCGAGGCCGCCCACGAACGTAACAGCCGCAACGACGACGATGGAGGCCGCATCAGCCAGAGCTGCGGCCCGAGACCGCTGGGGCGAAATGGGCGCTCCCACGCCGTCTCAGCTCCAGCGCTTCATTCAGGCCGCCTGCAGTCCCGAGAATTACGAGCCGAACCTCGCTCTGAATCTCGAGATTTCCGACCTAATCAATTCCAAGAAGGGTTCCGCCCCACGCGAGGCCGCTGTCGCCATCGTCAGCTACATCAACCATCGCAACCCCAATGTCGCCCTCCTCGCGATCAATCTGCTCGACATCTGCGTCAAGAACTGCGGCTACCCCTTCCACCTGCAGATCAGCACAAAGGAGTTTCTCAATGAGCTCGTCAGAAGGTTCCCCGAGCGACCCCCGATACGGGCGACGAGGGTCCAGATGAAGATCCTCGAGGCGATTGAGGAGTGGAGAAGCACGATATGCGAAACGAGCAGGTACAAGGAGGACTTGGGCTTCATTCGGGATATGCATCGTCTTCTGAGCTACAAGGGGTACACGTTCCCCGAGGTCAGGCGGGATGACGCCGCCGTGCTCAACCCTAGCGATGTAAGGCGCTCTTCATTTTCGTTGGCAGCGATTTGGAGCTATACTGACGTGCGTAGAACTTGAAATCTGCCGAGGAAATGGAAGAAGAGGAACGCGAGGCGCAATCCGCTAAGCTTCAGGAGCTCATTCGACGAGGTACACCCGAGGATCTACAGGAGGCAAACCGCCTGATGAAGATTATGGCCGGCTACGATACTCGATCCAAGACCGACTACCGCGCCAAGGCCGCTCAGGAGGTTGCCAAGATCCAAGCCAAGGCTAGGTTGCTCGAAGAGAGACTCGAAGCTTTCCAACAGGGCGACACGATGCAGGACGGAGATGTGTTTTCTGAGCTTGCTGCCGCTCTGTCTAGCGCGCAACCCAAGATCCAGAAAATGTGTGAAGAGGAGTCGGATGACCACGAGGCTGTCGCGAAGTTGCTGGAGATCAATGACAGCATACATCGGACAGTGGAGCGATACAAGTTCATGAAGAAGGGGGATCTTGAAGCAGCTAAGAAGGTGGCCAGTGGCGCGCCGCTGCCGTCAACTTCAGGTCCTTCCAAGAGCGCAGCGCAAGAGCTTTCTTTGATCGACTTTGATGGCGAACCAGAGACAACGAATGGCTCATCGTCAAGTCAGCCGGCCTCACAGTCAGCAGGCATTGAAAACGATCTTCTCGGCCTTTCCATGGACGATTCAGCAAGCTACGGCCAAGGAGGTGCTTTGACTCTGGGATTCGGAGCAAACTCGAGTATGTTCAAACAGAGTCTTTGTTGTTGACACATCCACATACTGACCAAAATTAGACATCCCAGGGCCGGCGCTACTCTCTTCCGTGACAGAAAACAACAGCGCAAAGGGACCTATGAGCAACACTGCAACACCCCAGCCACCATCCTTCTCGCAGTTCGCTTCTTTCACCTCTCCTTCAGCATCCCAGTCCGGCACACCCCAGCCGTCTGGTATGTCTGCCTTTAAGCCGCCCCAGCAGCAGGCCACGACCTCAAACGACCCCTTTGCCGCCCTTGGATCCCCCATCTTCTCCTCCAAGCCTGCTACCCCAGCTCCCGCCCCCGCCATCGCGCCCGCGCCAGCAGCGCCAGCCGCAAACGACGACGACGAATGGGCCTTTTCGTCAGCCCTCCCTCCTGAAGCGCCTAGTCAGCCTAAGGAGCACAAGGCGACTGTTAGCGATTCTACTGTTAAGATTGAGATGATTGCAGGGAGGACGGGGACGGGCAATGCGATCAACCTTAGTTTCGCCTTCTCGAACAACTCTGCACAGCCCATCTCAGAGCTTCACTATCAGCTCGCCGCCACAAAGGTCAGTCTTGCGCGTGCCTTTTACAGATAGGTCATTTTGCTAACATTAACCAGGGTTACGAACTTGGCCTCCGGCCCCAGACTGGGCGAGAGTTGGCTCCCAAGCAGAGCAGAGGTGTGACCCAGTTCGTAGAAGTATGGCATGCTGGGGACAAGAACCGCAAGGTGCAATCTATCAAGTTGCGGTGGAGGATTTCTTACAAGGTTGGAGCGGAAGCGAAGAACGAGATGGGAGAGATTACCGAGTTCAGCCTTGCATGATGATCCAAAGAGTACGAGGAAGAGAGTAGGTAGAAAAAGGGGCGTTTTGAAGTGTTGGAAGATGAGCCGGCGCAACTAGCGCAACGCAAAAGAGGTATAGAATCAGGGTATCTAACAATCTGATGAACCATCAACCAGTGAATATGTCTAGTGCCTTAGCCTCCCATCATGATGTAGCACACCAGGTCACTCCCTCGCTTCTCTCGTGTCCTCACGTGCTCTAAGCCCGGATGAAATCACGGCGGTCCAATGGCTGAGAAGGAGGCAGGCAGTCCCCACCAAAGCACCTGCCTTCCTTCTCATCACAGGAACCGAACCATACAACCAGGACTGACGAGACCGCCCTGCCCTGCCCTACCCCTTATGTATAACGTCCCGCGATTCTGTTCTCGTTGACAGTTGGGCGAGTGGTTCCAAAGTAGCGGCGTGAGAGCGCGGCAGTGAAACCGAATTTACAGACCCTCTTGTTCGCTACTCGGTGGAGGCAGCCCTGTGCGACCTTTGAGGCCTCAAATGGCCGGGTTTAGCATGCGAAGGGGCTAGTCCCGAATCGTTTTGTGGTTTTGACTGTCAGTCTAAAGTGACTTCTATTTGTTTTGGAGGGATTTGAAAATATTGTGTTGTTGGTGGCTTGGCTGCTGTTGAGGCAGGTAGGCGTGCTTCCTGTGATGTGAGAGCGGAAGCTGTGGTGTTTTTTTTCTTTTTCTTGTCCTGCTGTTTTTTTGTGATTCTGCGGATGCAAGGACGACGGTGGTGGTCGAGGATGGCCGGGCGGGATGCAGACGGGATCGGGGCGGGGCCGGGCTGGACGGGCACTACGGCGGGTGTGGGGGGCGCCAGGATTACTCTTTAGCCGCTAAAATGCACGTCCGTTGCGGGATGACCTCAGAGCTCACGATGGAATTCCTG